AAAATTAAAACCATTAAAAATATATATTTTTGTGACTTGAAATAAACATTAACTGAAATAAAATAAAGTATTTACATATTTTTTTTCATTTATTTGCAAGGCAGCCTGTCTCAATTTAATTTAGTTGAATGTATTAAAATAACGAAATGTTAAAACTGAAATATAAATGAAAAACTTGTCATATTTTCAAAAACACTTTTTTTTTTCCACACAGACTAAGGCACTACTCACTGCTTCTACTGACAACATCAAGGACGCAATAATCTCACTGATGTACTAGCTCAACTATACAAGCCTTTTCAGCTCCGCTCATCTCCCACAATGCCTTGCATCATCGTCAGGTGTGTGACTAGCACTCATCAAGGTTGAAGGCCACGTTACCAATTTCTCTCTTTTTAGACGTACAGCTCGCTGGCTTTTTTGTGCTCTCCACTTTCAAGTTTCCTGTGAACTTCACATCAAACGGCTGAAGCCCTATGCACTGGCTTTGAAGTGCTGGGGAGAGCTGAGCTCTGCCATCCCTTTGTGCTGGCGCTGGTAAAAAGCTGCCATGCTAAAAAAGTCAAAGACCGCAGGGAACGGACAGTGAACTCCAGCCTCTCCGCCCTCCCTGTGCACCGAATGGAGTCTTTGAAATGTATTCCACTCTTGATAATGATGTTTCAGTGCTGCTGTCAGCCACGACTGGAGGTGTGAGCATGTGGCGAGATTTGGACCTTTCAAGGTTTCGTGTTGCCAGATTCACTCATAACCTATAAAAGAGAGACTAGGCAGTGTGAATGAATAATCATAAGAGAGTATTCAAATATAAAAGCTGCGGTCACACTAGAATTTGAGCGCTCAAAATTGATGTATGACATCACGCTCTGTATTCAAATCATAATTTCAAGATACGATGAATAATAATGAATCCAAATGTAAAAACACAATCTACAGTTTCCTGAAACGTTACAAGCCTGTGGTTTGAAGTTTGTGTTCTTTGAATTCAGCTAGATAGAATTTAGGATCATTGATTATAATTGCTGTTAATATGCAGAATTAGATTTTGTTTTTCTATTTTCTGTCACTTTAATTTTAATCAATATTTTAGTGATTTTGTTGTGTGCTTTTGTCAATTTTATTAGTTTTTAAAAAAAATGCTTATATAGTATTTTTTAAAAACTTTTTATGTATTAATCTAACTTTATTTATTTATTATTTATTTTAGTAATTCAACTCAAACTAATGAAAATGAAAAATGTTGCCTTGGCAACTAGCTGAAATAAAATAAGTTATTTTTATATTTTATTTCAACTAACATTTATTTTATTTTGATGAATTACATTTTATTATATTGAAAATGATTTTTTAAAATCATTTTAGCATGATTATTATCATTAAAGGGATCGTTGACATCATTTACTCACCCTCACATTGTTTCAAACCTGTATGGGTTTCTTTCTTCTGTTGAACACAAAAGAAGATATTTTGAAGAATGTCGGTACCCAGTCAGTTGCTGGTAGCCATTGACTTCATTCTTCAAAATATCTTCTTTTGTGTTCAACAGAAGAAAGAACAGTCTTGAAACAACATGAGGGTGAATAAATTACAAAATTTAAATTTTTGGTTGAACTGTCCCTTTAATGATAATAACCATGCCAAGAGGTCCCACTATGATGTATCAATTCGCAGGTCAGAGTTCACCAAACCGGAAGTAGCGAAACATTTTCGCATGAGCTCGCGTTTCCAGTCTCCAGTGTTTGCATGCATATAAATGGAATTCAGTGGAACAAAAAGTGTAATGACCACTCCTGTGTGACAAAAAGTTACAATGCTAATCAAACCAAAACGTGACATATCTGTATGTTTGAGCTTTATAAAGCCTATTAAAAATTATTAACTATAAAAAGTCCTAAAATGTGCTTAGTAAGGGAAGAGGACGGACTAATTTGAATTTGTAACTCATAGTGTTGTTGCGTTAATTTTGTAGCTTAGCAAGGCTTTGAATATCTGGTACTATGGCGGAACCCAAAATCGCATAGGCCTACTTTGCAAAAAAAAACAGTACGTGAAAAGAGCAGTCCTATGACAGAATTCACAGTATTCATAAAACAATAGTCAAAAGTTTCTCAATTACTTACTACTTCCGGATTCCGAAGAACACATCCAATAGCTTTACTATCCCATGAGGCCATGGAAGAGGATTTGTGAATGGCAATGAAGAATGACAACATGACCAATGTAAGTGCGGATTACAAACTATATAAAAAAACAAACTTTTAATGGTTGTGAAGTAATTACTTATTCAAAAGTAAGTATTAGGGATGCACCGATACCACTTTTTGACCAGTATCGGGCCCGATACCGGTGCATCCCTAGTAAGTATATCTTGAAATGCCCTTACGAAAATTAACCATGTTTTTTTATTATTATAGTAAAAGTGTAGTAACCATGGTTTTTTGGTGTATTGACTACCATTTGTGTAACCACAGTTTTACTACAAATACCATATAGTTAAACTATATGGTTAGTGTTGCAAAACCATTGTTAATTATTATAATTTGTGGTTCCCATGGTTTAACTATAGTAACCATGCTTTTTTGGTTTTATTTGTAGTTAAACCATGGTTACTTTTTGTAAGGGTGTGAGCGTACGTTTTACTTACTTTTACGATGTAAGCTAGTACTTCGAAAGTATGTAGATCAACCTTTGGAACCTTGGTTATGTGGTTTACGTTTTATTAGCTTAAGAGAAAAATAACTGTGTATGTTTCTCCCAGTGTTCATTTTTATATTACATGACAAGTCATGTTTACTAAGGCACGGGCGCAGGCTGATGACGTCAAAGTTCGGGGGCACGTTGCAGACGTGACAGGCGAGCGCGCGGAGGGCGCTAGGACCCGGCAATGCCGGAGTGTTTCATCTCCTCATCCATTACATTCCCCTCATTTATTCAGTAGATCCAGAGAGCGCAGCACAGCCACAGCACAACAACTCTCACACACTTTAAATTCCAACCATATTCACTGCACGGTAGCAAAATGGTGAGGACCGAGAGGCAAAGAACAGAGGTGAAGGCTGAAGACTTGTTTCTGGAGTCCGAAACATCTTTGGATCAGCAAGATTTTGAGATGTCTACTTGTCCTTTCAATGACGTCTTCAACTCCAGAGACTCTTCCATGATAAACACTTTCCTGAAAAATGTACAGGTTTTATTGGAGGCTGCGCGTTATATTGAGAGCGCCGAGAGGAAGGATGGAAGTAAGTGAAATTATAGTGCACTTATGAGTGATTTCGACTCATTTGCGTAATGCAGACAAACTGTTTCATTGTCAATAGACTCAGACAACAAAGGACTGAGTTCAACGAACAATCAGCCAAGTAGACGAGGAACATGTGCAGTGTGCCCCGATATGCGACGCACAGACACAATGCTTTTAAAGGATCAAGTTTCCAAAATGTAAAAGGAGACCTTTTTATATTTTAGCATTTTTATAATACACATAATGCATAAACTTTAATTGTTTCAGGGCTATTTTCAACTGCACATAGACGTATAACGCCAAATTTCACATATCTGTATTTTATTGCATGTGTCAGAGACACAAAAACAGGTGAATAATTCCCTCTGCAGCGCACTTAATGTCCCAGATCGCAGGCTGGCTGTCCCAAGCTGGCATGCACTGTCATACGGGGCAGTTCAGAGTCTGGCATTGTTCGGCAGAGAGACATGCCAGGCAGTTTGCCATCTCTTTCTCTCGAGGAACATAAACAAGCATATAAATAAATAATAAAGGCACAATACACACGCTGACGTCACCTCTTACTGTGGTAGACTGTAATTTGCACCTTTAACTCTCCATTACGCACCTAGTATAAGAGTGTATGTATGATGATTACACGTTTATCGTATAAATAAAGGCATTTGATCACATGAAGTTGTTTTTGTTTGAGCATTATATTGTGCTTTGTCTAGATAGGCAATTGTAGGAAAATATATTTGGCGCCTATGTTTTTTATTTATGATAATGTTTAAGGCTGATTGCGTCTATTATGCAACTATTATAAAGAGAGATTAATATGAAGCACTTTAGAAACAATAGATTTTGATCACGTTTTCACCATTCGCTCTTATTCGATTTATTTCATTATTATTCATTGCGATTTAAAGCAAACCCGAGTCACACCGGGTAAATCTGAAATTTTATATGCAGACTGCATATTTCTACTTCAAAAGAGTTCTCCAATTCGCCTTCCTGTTTCCTAGGGGGTGTGTTCACATGACAGCCACATGGTGCACGTTGCGCTGCTCTGATTGGCCAGAGCGCATTGCGTTGGCGGACGCTTACTAGGGCCTCTGACCAATCACGGCGCTGCGGTGCTGTGATGTCATATGTTGCTGGGCCTGGCTTAAACGGCACTGGAAGTGAGGGATTGTGGGAGTTGAAGTGCGCAGTATCAAAACGTGAAAAATGGGAAAAACGGCATTTTTAATCATTAAATGTAACGCAGATTGCATGGATTGTTACGGCTGCTTCTAAAATTAAATGCTAAAGAAATTAATTACTGAAATATAGATTTGAGATGCAATTGGTATTAGCTCGGAGTGCACAACTATGTAGGAAACCCAGGTTTCAGTTACAGCATCTCCCTGTACAACGGTTGTTATTATTAATAATAATACAAAAAATAACGAATACAACAGTAAGCTGTATATTAATGAATATAAAATGAATATTTATATTTTTCTTAGTATGTTTTAATCTCATTGGCTTTAAATTTCTAGATATTCTTAAGGTAGACTTTGTCTAATTTGTGTATAAATGTATTTAATATTAAATACTCGCTAATAAACTAATACTAAAGATAGATTGAACCATTCAAGCAAGGTTATTGTTTTAATAACTAATAGCATAATAATTAATCAACGTGTCCTGTTCCGAGTTAAAGGGCCGCGAAGGACTACATTTCCCAGAATGCCCCGCGCGGAGTTCTCTATCCTCTCAGCTGTTAAAACAGTAGGTAAACAAACTAGAGGAGGAGAAAACAGCGCAAGCACCAGGGACTTCGCAGGCTGGGCTCTCGGGGACTCTTTTGTACCTGTTTCTATTCATTTTATACACTTTGTATTCGACTGTTTTCCTAAAGCACTTTTACTACTTTGATATTCAGGCGTCGGGTGTTTTATTTGTGTTTGATTTCCTGTAACTAGCTTGGTAACAGTGTAAGGAAATACCTCGAGTCTCGACGGTTCAGCAAATAGAAACAAAAACACAAAAAACAGGTGAATCGTCGGAGGATATTCAATGCTACGTTTCGCGGCGCGACAGCTGTCATCGTGATCACATATCAGAAAAAAACGACACGCATCTAGATTTATTCAAACGATGACTGCTGTGCTGAATATCCAGAGGTTACTGGAAGCAGCCGACTATATAGAAAGGAGAGAAAGAGGTACATGGTATTGATATTTATAACTGTCCTGTCACAGAGGCCAACCTGTGAATTGACTGTATTTTGAAGTGCACGAGGTATTTAAAGGGACTTGGCCCGTGTCTGGTTAGATGTGACACGTTTCTGCGGTGTCTTTTTCAGAGAGTGAACACGGATATGCCTCGACCTTTCCGTCTGTTCAGCACTCCAGCTACCAGAGACAAAGGAAACATCGAAATAAAAAGTGCAGCAACAACCACAACAGGTAAGCACATGATCTGACTCTCCACTTCCACGAGAGGAGGGAAAAACTGCTGGAGAAGATCACAGTGCATAGATCACACTGCTATGACATCTGTCACGACCAGTCACTGCTGATAATACTGGCTTGAATCTGTGCTGCTGTAATTTCTAGATCATTTTCTAGTCGCCTTTTAGTTTATGGCTTGTTTTTGATATGTTAAATAAAACAATATAAACTTTTAAATGCCTTTTATAAATATAGCAAAGAATAGCATATATATATATATATA